AAAAAAGCGTTGGTGTACAATATTAGTTGGCAGACAGGAGGTTAAATTATCATTTTTTGTAGCCCTACCTTCTCAAAGTACTCTTTTTCAGCGGGTAGGGTGTTGGCCAGTTTCTTGGCAGTGACCTGTCCCTGTGACGGATCTCCCCATAATCCCTGTTCCACAGTTACGTAGACGGCGGTAACACCGATACCGATCTTGGCCAAGTTTCTATGGAAACCAAGCAGAATAAAACTGATGACAAATGATTACAATTATGAATTATCTCTATATAGTTTATTTGCTTGTTCAATTTTTTACAATTGTCGACCACGTGACAACTTCACCGTTGCCAAATTTAAACAAGAGTACACTTTTCCTTAGCCCTGAGTACAGTCCTGTAGGTTGGCCTTCTTCCTCTGATCATTCGGCCCTCACAGTCCTGAGAAGTCGCATAGACCGAGGATTCGATACTACTGTGAAGGAATGTATCTGGCGATTTAAGAGGCATTCAGCTTTGCAGTTAAAAAATAAGCGGGTCGATACGTCTAACTATTCTAAATACCTTAACCGGAAGCGAAATTACATAAGATTTCCCACTAGGGTCGATGAAATCGACATTGTCTAACATCAACTGAAAATATACGCCGCCATCTTGTTCTTGACGTAATTATTAACAAAATGTTGTTTCGTTGCGTAAAACTAGCTTTCACCAACGTTCCAGTACTGTAGGTTAATTTTTTGCCCACAAAAAATGTATTTGTGATTGCTAGATTGGTCGATAGATGTTTTAGCTGGATACAATCATGAAAAACTGCAGAACGGTTCTCCGCCATAAATTTGTAGGCGATTGTCGAATCCTCGGTATATGCGACTTCTCAGGACTGTGGGGGCCGAATGATCTGCGGGAGAAGGCCAACCTACAGGACTGTACTCAGGGCACGTAGAGCCGGTAATAATTGCCAATATTGCGTCACAGTTCTTTCTCTCTCACACAAACTGTTATTTTGATTGTTCGAAGTCAAATTTACAAAAATCTATACTTATTTTCATCCTATAGTTGCACTACAAGTTTCGGCATTCTATGAAATCACAATTATGATAACATTTGGACGTAAAAAACGTCATTCGAGAAGTTATACTTACTTTACGATGGAGAGCGCCATGTTGAAATTGTATGTACTTGCCGTTGGTGGCGATAGATGGGAAGTTGACCCCTAGATGGTTCTGTACCACGGGTAGAGGTAGGTGAAAGAGAAATGTCGAGAAATTATTTGTCTTTTACATCATCGGAGTCAATGACATAATATACTGAATATTATAAATGATACTAATACGTATATATAAAAAGAAAGAACGTACATTTTTAAGCGTTTTTCTACATAGATATGTATTCACAAATATTCACCTCCGCCATTTAATGGAACAGTCCAAATATTGGTCACCTGACTTGGTGTGATTGACCCGACGATGTAAACGAACTTAAACAGGATTTCATAGACAGGATCTTTAAAATGGGTTGGATCAAGGTTTGTGCGTTGCCCCTAGCCGTATACATTGGATACCTGCTGATTGACACGTTCGATCCAGGTAAGATTTTGCCGAATTGTTGCTTATCACTTCAATAGAATTCGCCAGTAAATCACATTCGCAGTTCAAGGTCAAGATAGAATTCCTTGACCTATATTTTGGTTTCGTTCTACTGGTGGGCGGGGATGGTTAAAGCGCGGTGGTCGTCGCGCAGCGCGTGTTCGAATTTCATGTAAACAAACAATGTATTTTACACGCGTTGTATACGTCGCTATGAGTCCCATATCGAACAGGACGAGGCACGACGACTGCCGCCCTTTAATCGAGTTTTGCTCACTGCAGACGCTAGTCCGAGTTCATCCTCTGTGAAACTAACCGTTTAAAGGCCCAGGTATACTATAAATACTCTTCTAAAGGCAGAGCTCCAGAAGGAGTACCTACACTTTATGCAAATTTTTTAAAATTATGCTAATTTATTCATGACGTTGCAGTTTCTGTGCTCATGAATATTCATTAATTTGTGGCTCAATACATTTTAAAAGGGGCGATATATTATTTTT